TCTAGATTGTTGAGAGACGCGAATTTTAACAATGAATAATTAATACTTATAAAAAGACACAGGTTAATTATTAACAGACATTTCACTTTTTGAGCAGTTCGCGAATATCGCCATCTGACCTGACCCACACAGATTTATCTCCGTCAGCTTTTTTCACTAAGATCTTGCCGTTATTTACCCAGATGAATTTAAATCTTTCCTTCAGCTGTGTCTTGGCATTCCACAGCAGCTCTCGTGATGTTTTGGTTAAATCTTCGTTAATAAAAATTTTATTACGTTGAGATCCGCCGGTGATCGCGCTGCTGTTTAATTCCTTGAGCTTACGCCTGTTGGCTAACCATTCGTCCCGACTTTTAGTGCCTGAAGTCTTAAAACCTATAATAATCGGAGCTGGTTTGTCATTAATTTTGCGTGTCGTGCGGCGACTCACCCAGTCGATACATGCGCTGCTCACTCCTATGATATCTCCCAGTTTTTTAGCCACCGCCATAACGTTTTCATTAGGTAATTGTTCAATACCTACAATTTCTAGATTATGCTTACGGGAAGCTTGGTCGAACTCGTGCACTTTTTGCTCAAGAGCCATGTTACATTTCTCCAGGTACACACATTTATTATTGGTATTCACTATGGACTTTTCCAGATCACGAATTTTTTTCTTCGATTCTTCATGTTCCGCCATTAAAGTGTCATACTTTTCCGACAGTACACTCATGCTGTCCGTTATAGAATTCAATTGCTTTTGGAGGCTTGGAATTGCACTGACTTTATTTCGAATGTCTTTAAGGATCTTTTCAATACCATGTCCCTCTGTTTCCTGTTCATCTCCTTCAGAATCATCAACAGTAGAACATCCCTCGCAGTTGTTGCAAAATAAACGGTTCTTGCCCGCCTTCATGTCAGCCAATAGTCCTTTTACACAGGTCCTATGGAATTTTCCCTGGCATGGACCTTGACACACGAAATGAGATCCGTTTTTCGACAACACTTTTTTGCACATTTGACATTGCATTTTTGCCAATAACGTCTTACTTGTACTTGTAAACTAGCGACTGCGAGCCGCGATTGTAGGAATACGCGGGACGCACGCGCACTTAATGACGTTCCGTGCGAGACTGTTACGTATTACGTAGTAACATCCTACTAATATTATAAGCGCGAAAGTTTGTAAGAATGTATGTATTGGCTAATGGGTGTATGGTTGTATGTTTGTTACTTTTTCACGCAAAAACTAGTAAATGGATTTTGATGAAACTTTGCAATAATATTGCTCATACATCAGAATAACACATAGATTACTTTTTATCCCGGAAAAAGTACGGTTCCCGTGGGTTAGATTTGCTTTTGTTTTCTAGAGGTGAACCCAAGCGAAGCAAGGGTAAGCCGCTAGTCATATAATCTTTTATGTGACACGTTTTTATTTCATATCGACACTCGTTTTATTTTATCCATGAGGAATTGGTAACGTCTAGACTACGTTTATATAATTTATTCAAAGGATGCATTAAAACTCCGATTTACGAATAGAAATTGTTTTAAATCGCCTGATAATATAAAAAGCAATTTCGCGTATAAGATTTATGGCATATACAAAATATAATAAAAGTTTTATCTTACTGTTTAGATTACTAGTATTTATTAATCTCGAGATCTTAAAAAGTGGATTTTTATTTTTTTCCCTAAAATTTAATTCTACTTTAACATAATTTAGATTGCGTAATCACCTGCTAGAGTCTTGGTAAATGTATGTATCCGACTGCATAATACTATGTTCTTTAGTCAACTGTGTTTGAATTTTACGCAGCCGGATTTTTCTGTTTTTGTTAATATTTTGTTTTATTCACAGTTTTTAAATTGTGTCAGGTTAGATAATTAATTGATACTTATTAATTTACAATTTTATGTACCCAAATATTCATAAACATAATACCTATAACTTGTATATTTTTTTGTACTCGCCTCTTAAATCCTTTCATATTAAAACCACGCTTAGAAGATTTGGAAGAAAAAACGATTTTTCTTTAGGCGCAAATTAGCATATGACATCCGGCACATATATTTTTTCATAATTTTAATATATACATTATTTACCTATGACACCTGCGTTAGCAAGAAGAATCTAGCGACATATTATAATCTTACTAACACCTCCCCAGGTAAATGTCTAAGAAATTAATTAATTTTCTAAGAAATCTATTGTTAACTGTAACGCCGGCGTATCCGCAGTCGTGGAGGGACTAATATTATAAATGTAAAAGTTTAGATGGATGTTTGGATGTTTGTTACTCAATCACGCCAGAACCGCTGAAAGTGACACAAAGGTAGATTATAGTCTGGAATAGCACATAGCCTATTTTTTATCGTGAAAAATGTACAGTTCCCGTGGGATAAATTTGTTTCTGTTTTAATAGAGGCAACCCGAGTGAAGTGAGGCTGAGCCGCTAATTCATACAAATTGGCTTAGCCGTTAAGGAATTATGAGGGAACATAAGATCGTACATATGTACATTCTTTTCTCTACAGTTATCATTTTCAGTTTTCATTAAAAAACCTTTCAATATATTTTAAACTTCGACCGAAAAAAGTAAATAAAATGGCAGCTTAATTTTTAACATGAATACAGTAAACAATAAATGTATATATTGTAGTTAAAATTTATATAATATTCTACAATCACAAAATACTTATTATAAGTCTTTTCTTTATTTAAGGTCGCTTTATAAATAAATTTTGTTGCCATGAGAAAAACTAAAGAAAATTTAGATTTAAACAATGAAAGAGAAATTACTTATTATAATTTTTAATAGCTTTATCTAATGATCTTTATGGTTTTTGGTGATTGTAAATGTTTATTCTTTCTATTTAGTCTTAGAACAACTCGATAGAATCAGTTATTGTATTTTTCCGCGGGAATTAAAGATTTCCTGGAGTAAAAGGTATCCTAAGTGATGATCCGAGTAATAAGTTATTTCTACACAAAGTTTAGTTAAAATCGGTTCAGTACTTATTGCTTGATACGCGCATGTCGATTTTGCTAAGTAACTGTTTTATTAAAAGTATGGATGACTCGACTATATTAAGGAAACGACACCGTCTGATATGATTGAGCAGGTAAGAAATTTAAATTCGAGACGTTCATTGATTTTATAGAAACACTAGCGAATCGCCCTCGCTCCGCTCGGGTTCGTCCTTAGATACGTTTAGTATAAATTTCTCAAAGATGAGATATTTTCCCGCAGTAAAAAGTATTTTATATGTTGACCTGGATTACCAGATATTATCATACCAAATTTCAACAAAATCTGTCCTGTGATTTTATTGTGATGCGGTCTCAAACAGACAGACAGACAAAAAATCTAAAAAAAAAATAGATTCGGTATCTGTATCGACAATAATGACTATTTCATTAAGATTTACCACAATACATATTTAATGTACAAATTCGACTCATTTAGAATTTTATTACTATGTATAGATAGAAGATATAGATAACATAAATTATGATTCAGCAATATCTCCATGTAGATTAAATGCGAATGTTTCAAGAGCGCGAATGGCGCGAATTTTTAAGGAACACAGTGAAAATGCTCAAATGAGCTAAGGTGCCGATTTCGATTGAAAGTATCATTTTTTGAGAAATTTCATTTTTTTAAGAAACATACTTTGTTTAATCTATAAAAAATAATCACACCGCTTTTATTGAATATTCAAATATAGTTGGAAACTGTCAAGAAACTAATCGTTTATGTATACAAGGGACTTGTTACTTAACAAAATATAGGCATCATCATCTTTTGGCCAAATTTATAACTAACAGTAGCCTATGTCTAATAATAGATCAAAACGTATCGTCTATCTGTTTACTTCATCCAAATCCTCCTAGCCGTTTCTGCAAGAAGAAGAAATGAACACACCTATTTACAACCTTTTGCTTTTATAATTTATATGATATGATACATGATATGAATATCATGTAAATTACCAGAAATAATTTAATAGATTTCTAAAACACCATAATGTTAATAGGAATAAAGTGATTGTTAAATCAGTGATTACGGTACATGAAAGGATAGTTTTATGATTTATGTGGTTACGTTAACAATCAAAAAGAGAGGTGTGTAGTGGTTAATCAAAAGGGTAAAACGTGAAGCCTGTAGAAATCATATATAATATTACAGAATAAAAAATATAAAATTCATTATTTATTTATCAATCTGAGGCCCCTAGTGTGCTTTTATGTAAAAAAATTGCTTTGGTGCTGTGTCAAAAAGCCACAAACACTGATTTACATTTATATAATGTAGGCAGTAGTAGCTCAGTGGAGGCAGTGGTACCCCAGTGGTAAAGCGCTCGCTTGGGAAACCGAGTGATACGGGTTCAAAACCGGGTCGCACCTCCGATATTTTCATGTGCGAATCATTTTCAACATGACTACCACTTATCATACGGTGAAAGAAAACATCGTAAGGAAACCTGCATGTCAGAAAGAACCTAGCAAGTTTTTAAAAGACGTGAAGTCCGCCAACCCGCACTTGGCCAACGTGGTGGACTATGGCCTAATCTACACCTTATATTGAAGGGAGTCCCGTCACGTTTCGAGCCCAGCAGTGGGACGTTAACAAGGGCTGACAACAACATGCATTAGCGAAGACTTGAATAAATCAACGCGAATTTAATTTTATTTTAATAGAACAAGGCTTTATTGCCACTTTAATTCTTAGAATAAGCAATTTTCATTCTTTACATTAATAGATTTAAAAAATACTAGCGTTCATCCAGTGGTCGAAATTCGACTACAATCATTAGGTATTTTTTTTAATATTTATATTTTTTTATTAATAACACTCGTCAATAAAGCTAATAAACGAAAAAAAAATCGATTGACAAATAGAGGAGAAAATAGTATTGAACTGTTTTGTCTTTGCCTATTTATATGTAGATTTTAAGTTTGTATTAAAAAGTGATACTTTAAAATTATTTTATTAATGTGCCTGTTGCAGGTATGAAGGAGAGTTCATGCAAGGCTGGTTTCATGGTCACGGTGTGTTCTGGCGAGCTGATGGGATGAAGTTTGAGGGAGAATTTCGTGGAGGACGTGTTTGGGGATTAGGTTATTTGTAATTTATTATTATTATGTATAACTAATTCAGTGGTCTAGTGGCTAGCATGTATAGCCGCATATGCGGAGATCCTGGTTTCGATGGACAAGTCGAGCTAAGTTCAGCTATTGAGTATTTCTGTCAAGAAATTCTTAGTAACAGGCCGGACTGACGGGTAGTCTCAATGAGATTCGTCGCCCTGGCTGAAATTAAACGAACATTATGTATTTTTTAATATTTTTTTGAGTTGAAGTGCAACATTCGGTCTTATTTATTTTTAAAAATATGATGTATGTTTTGTTTATAATAATTTGCCTAGTACGAAAATTCAACGCGCTATCCTGGATCTACCCAATTGAGTGGTAAAAAATATTTTATTTAATAGTTTTGTCATATATTTACTTTACCATCAAAGACAAATTTTATACCATTATACATAGAATAAGCAATAAAATTACCATAATCCATATCGTTACACAGGTAAAAGGATGTGGCCTTTTTATTATTTTTGTCTGTTTGTAAGCTATGTGTGGCTCTGGTAATGTATTGTAAACAAGATTAGATTTGTGATATACTACTATTACTAAATACATAGGTACATAGAGGTTAAACACCTAACCCTCCTTTGAGTCTCTAAATACAACAGCTGACTATTAAGATGTTTCTCCTTTATAATAGATAAATGTAAATATTTGTTGGCACATTGAACTTTGGTGGGAAGGTTTGCTAGTATATATATATATATATATATATATATATATATTTATATATATATATATAAATAATAAAAATGTAAGTAAGCCGAATCTGTACATTAATTTTTTTTTGGAAAATCTTATTGAAATAGACATTATTATTGATATAGAGGCCGAATCTGTAGTTTTTAGAATTTTTATCTGCCTGTCTGCCTGTTACCGCAACACGGAAAAACCACTGGAGATATTTTGATGAAATTTGGTATAATATTAGCTGGTTATCCGGGTCAACATATAGGATACTTTTTACTTCGGGAAAATATCTCACCTCTGAGAAATCTATACTAAACGTTAAAACGTAACTAACGAACCAACCCGAGCGGAGCGAGGGTTAGTTGCTAGTAAAATAATAAAACATAATTTTCATTTCTGGTTAAGGATTGACGAACTTTATAATTAATTCATACAAAAGCTAATATTATTTTAATCTCGTAGTTCAATAATAAATGTAAATATATTGGACGAAATTCTCCAAATCCGTTTGTTTATTGAATTTAAAATTGTTAAAGTTCAAATCCTTTAGAAATCTAAGTATCTTCACATCCACTTTTTGAAATACATTGAACCTTTTGACAGACTGTGTGTGTGTGTGTGTTAGTTTGTTTGTCCTTATACCTACTTTGAAACAGAGTAACGAATTGGCATGATTTTTTGTGTGGAGATAGTTGGAGGGCTGGAAAGTGACATATATAGGTGTAAAAAAAATATTCAATTATTGAGGGAGTTAAAAATTAAAATAATACAATACAATACAATGTGATATAACAATTACAATTCAATTAATTTTTATTTTAATGATAATAAAATACTTCATAGAAATATTATATAATCTTTAATTTTTACATATTATACAATTATACGAAATATTTTAAGAAACAATAAACAACTTTCACATTTATAATATTAGTAGGATTTAATTTTATTGTACCCATAGTTAGTTTGAAGGTGCGAAACAACTCTAACGCTATGTTAATCAAATGTTTAGTAAAAAGAGAAAGTTATTTATTAGGTTAAACTAAAAAGAATGTCGCGAAATATTTGATCAATTATCATCTTTTTTGAATTTTTTTTGGACGATAGGAAATTGAAATACTGGCTTAGACCCGGCAAAAAAAAATTATCAATATTAATAAATAAATAATTCAATTTAATAGAATTTCAGTATCCGCTTTGTCCATAAGCTTCTACTTTTTAATACGTATTCACGATATATTCGTTATTTGGTGATTCCATGGGAACTATTTAATTATATTAGTATTATTACATACAGTTTGAGAAATATTATAGAAACATATATATTATACTAACAGAACCCGCGACTTCGCTCCTGCTAAAACTACAAAAAAGGTAGGTTTCATACAAACTTTCATCTGCTATTTTACCCCCTTATGGAATGAATTTCGAAAAATGATATACAAGATAAATTATTTAATTATATTGGAGAGCATTAATCGCAAGTTTCAAGTAATTCTGATCGAAAATATTATTTTGGATTGTATTATAACGTGTTATCCCGTGGTAAAGAGATATTATCCCGCAGTAAAAAGTAGCCTATGTCACTCTCCATCCCTCCAACTATCTCCACACAAAAAATCACGCAAATCAGTCAGGCCGTTTCGACGTGAAAGAAAGACAAACAAACAAACACACTTTTACATTTATAATACTAGTAAGGATTTGTTTAGAGAAATTCTACTTATCTGTAAGGTTTTTATAAAACTCTCACAGAATGTGTTGGTTTCGCTAAAGTATAAAATATTTTCTAGGTCTTGTCACTTTTAGTGACGGCAGTAACGGCTTTCCAAGAAACGAGGGGTATTTCCAAGATTGCAAGATGGTGCGACGCAAACGTTGTCCTGAAGTCGTACAGCGAGCCCAGAAAATAGCTTATATGGCCCGAGCTCAATGCCAACAAATGTAATTTTTCTTATTGTTTAGTAATTATTTTTTATTATATGTACCTATATTACGAGTATTATATTATTAATGGCATTATTATATGATGTGGAAATCGTTCCTACACGTTTCATTTATTATAGAAATATACACTTAATTTGTAAGTTTCATTAGTATTTATGTTATTCATATCTGAAGTAAATGATGACAAAAATAAAATAGATATTAAAGTGAAATAAAAGAGTTATGAATGTTTTATTTAATAAGAAGAGTCCTAAAAACATAAAATATTTAACAGTTCTTTAATGTCTTTAGGAGAAACTAGAACTAAAGTTTTTAATACAATCACATTACTGTGATAAATGCCAAAGTTTGTATGTTTGTTACTCCTTTAAATTGAAATGGCTGATTAATTTTAGATGTAATTTAGTTCACACATAATTCGAACTGGAGTAGCGCATAGGCTGTTGTTAGTAAAAATTTTCCAAAAGGTGGCGTTTCATATATATATTACAAATTTAAAAGACACCTAGTAACGCACCCAAGGAAAGCTAAGTCTCTACATAATAAAATACATAATAAAATTCTGAGTCGAAACCGTAAGATTTTTTTTTTGAAAATAAAAAAAAATCATTATTATCGATACAGAGGCCGAATCTATAGTTTTTAAAAATTTTGTTAATAGTAGAACGATGTTATGACACAGCGTTTTAGTTTTTAATGACTTTGTCTATGTATGTATGTATTCAGCCTTTTTTTAACGCCCCACTGCTGGACACTGGCCTTCCTTCGGTACGAGAGGGATCAGGCCATAGTCCACCACGCTGGACAAGTGCTGAACTTCACATGTAGGTTTCCTCACGATGTTTTTCTTCACCGTAAGGCAAGTAGGAAATCCTGGAAATGATTCGCAAATGAAAATATCAGAGTGAGCGCATTATCACTGGGATACCGCTGCCTTTTTGATTTACTATATAAAATACTTTGATTTACTATATACTATACTAGACATATACTATGTAGAACTTTTCTATAGACCTTTTTAGGACTTACAATTTTCTTGCACAATGTTTTGATCTATCTCTGACGATTCGATAGAACCAGTTATTGTGTTTTCGAGTAATCAATAATTTGCCTATCGTAAAAGGTATCCTAAATGTTGACCCGAGTACTAAGTTTTATCACTACAAAATTTAGTTAAAATCGGTTGAGTACTTTTTGCGTGAAACGCGCACATCGATTTGACTAAGTTAGTTTTATTATACGTATAAATAAGAATAAATATTGCGAGTGTAACTTAGGAGATAGACATATACAATTCAGAACTTTTCTGTAGGACTTTTCAAGACCTACAATTTTTTTGTATATTGTTTTAATGTATGTATGTCTTAAGGCTTAGCCAGCGGAAGGTTTCTAAGGAGGACTCTATAAAACCAGTTATTGTATTTTCCCGTGGGAAAGAAAGATTTTCTTGAAGTAAAAGGTATCTAGGCAGTGGTATCCCAGTGGTAACGCGCTCGCTTGGGAAACCGAGTGAAGCAAGTTCAAATCCCGGGTCTCGCACCTCTGATATTTTCATGTGCGAATCATTTCTAACACAATTACCACTTGTCTTAACGGTGAAGTAAAACATCGTGAGAAAACCTGCATGCCTGAGAGAACCCAGCAAGTTTTCAAAAGAAATGTGAAGTCCGCCAACCTGCACTTGGCCAGCGTGGTGGACTATGGCCTGATCCCCCTCGTACTGAAGGGAGGCCCGTGCCCGGCAGTGGGACGTTAAAAAGGGCTGAATACATACATACATAAATACATACAAAAGGTATCCTAAATGTTAACTCGAGTAATAAGTTATCACCAAATTTCGTTGAAATCAGTACATTACTTTTCGCGTGAAATGCTCACGCAAAAACAGACAAACAGACATACAGGCAAACAGACAAACAGACAACTTTTTAATAACTATTGTTATTAGTATAGACTATATAACACTACTATGTGATGAAGATCATATATTTGCTTTCTACTCAAAAAATGCTTTTACTAATATATTTTGATATGAATGTCATACACATATTGCTGTCATGTTCAAACAACAAAAGACATACCGAGAGACATTGACAACTAACATATACACAAAAAGCTATAAAAAGATAACATAATATAAATTTTACATTAATTATTCGGGTCGAAGTTTTAGATTTTAGCCACAAAAGTTTTAAGTAAAATAAGATAAAAGTTTTAAAGGTGGGAAGGTCTCATAAATAATTTCCAATAAATTCTATTTCTGTTAATTTTGTAAGTCTAAGTTTTACCTTATTATTTATTCAAGAACTTAAAGAAGCTATAATTATATAACTTAAATAAGATTTACAATAAATTAAGCTATGCTAACAAAATATTTTGTTAAAAATTTATAAAAACAACTATGTATTTAAATATTTAAAAATATATTTCTTTCAACTATTACTACAGTAACAATTGACGTTTTTTGGTCAACTTTGTACTAAATTTTCGATCCAATTTTTTTATTTTATAAGTTTTAGGATCACTTACTGAGTATAAAATCACAAAATGCTGACAGATTCCGGTGGAGCTTCAGGCGCCATCTTGAAAAAACTTTTTTGGCTGATATTTCGGAAACTATGTACTTAAGGGCAAAAGTTATCAAAACTATTTTTGTAGAGAATAAAATTTCGGATCTTTTGTGTCCTTAATTTTTTTCGTAAATCTTACCGTTTACAATTTATGGCCCATTTAGTGCACCGGTTCTTCTATCTCGGCCGATAACTCTTAAAATATTGGTTTAATCAATAAAATGCATCTATCCATTTTTAAAGATCCATTTATTCTCTACAGCTTTTGTTCAAAACTTTTTTTTCTAGTATTCATACTTTTTGAGCTATAGGACGTTCAACATTCGTTGCTAGTTCGACATTTTTCTGTGGCAGATTATCTTATTCTCACGGGAAAACACGTTATAATACAATCCAAAAAAAAATATGATAAGAATTACTTGAAACATGGTATTAATGCTCTTCACTAAAATTAAATAAACACGTGTTTTAGCATTTTTCGAAATTCATCCTCCATTATAAGGAAGTAAAATAGGGGATGAAAGCTTGTACGAAACTACCTTTTTAGAGATTTTTTGTAGTTTTAGCGCGAGCGAAGCCGCGGGTTCTGCTAGTACTATATATAAAAAACATATAATAATTTATTTTGTTTAACAATCCAACGAGTGATAAGATTTAATAAAATTTAATAAACATAATTAAAGCCGGAAGGTAGAGAAAAGAAAGTAGACGCTGCAATTATAAAGTATATTTCTAACAACATAAGCACTGTCCATTACATCATTAACTTAAATGTACACGCTTATTGTAAATAATCTACGAGAATAAATATTTAACGATTAATATTTAATTAGATTTTAATTTTCTTTTACGTATTGTTTCTTCGTCGTCTAAGCACTCGCCATATCTGATTTCCATACATTTGCTTCCCTGTAACAAAAGAAACAATAAGTGAATACGAATTCTAAGAAAAACAGTTCAATAAAAAGTAAGTATTTTTTAATACACATGAAACTTTATCGCGAAATAAAATAGTTTTATTGAAAATATTTTCTTTCAGACAATAGAAATAATTTGAAGGTATATCTGTCTGTCTGACCGTATTAAAAACGATTTTTTACATACACATATTTATAGAATTGCATATAACGCAAATTTTAACATTAAGATAACATATGTATATAAGCCAAGAAACATCAATGATGTGCCATTCGGGTTTCTCCTGGTACTTTTGTAACCCCATGGTTGTTGTGGTCTGCTTCGGCAGACCTGCCTTCCGGGCGTCGTGGTTGAGTGCGTAAGCAATCCTGCTACGCCCCGTTAAAACGGGGTAGGTACCGTTTGGGTTTTAGTAGGTAGTATTGGCTTTAATAGTGAGTCCCACATAACCCGGATGTATCCAGGTGATATGCTTAAATGCATTTTTCAACATTAAAAAAATATACATACATATAAATATAAAACCATAAACAAAGAAAACATTGTTTGAGTAAACGTTTATGTGTATTGTAAAAATTTCTACATACTACGAGTATGTATCTAGCTTGATTTTCACCAACCGGAACAAATTATTTACAAGCATATATGGTTAGAACAAATATCCGACTCACAGAACTGAGTTTTGCGAAATAATTTTTAGTATCATTAAAATTATTATAAAATTTGTAAACCAACATATAAATACGTACATAGATAGACAAAATTACTACTCATACAACTAATTTAATACATAACACAATTACTTTGCGATCCAATTAAGATATTGACTTTCTCTAGATGGAAGCGGTAGTGCATTCTTTACGCTGTTATGAAACCATGATCCGGTTTCATAATATGTCCGGTGTATGTAAGAAAAGTAGGTATGTCATGTAAATAAATATCTAATTCTAATTGTGCCCTCGCATTTACGGTTCCAATAATCCTTTCACCTAAGGATGTATGTAGGAGATTGCTCATAGCAGGTTTCGCTTGCCTTTTTGTTATCTTTCTTTTCTTCTATGCTCTTCTTTTGTGTGTGCAATAAAGTGTTAATTTATTTACATCTGTAAGCCGAATCTGTACATTAAATAGTTTTTGAAAAATCTTATTGAAATAAACATTATTATCGATACAGAGGCCGAATCTGAGTTTTTAGAATTTTTGTCTGTCTGTCTGTTATCGCATCACAGAAAAACGACTGGAGGGGTTTTGATGAAATTTGGTATGGTGATAGCTGGTTATCCGGGTCAACATATTGGATACTTTTTACCGCAGGAAAATATCTTATTTCTGAGAAAAAATACAATGTAAGTATACTAATATGTAAAGAAGTTAAGAATTTGGTTTTTGGTTATCTGAACGCGGGCGGCGCTGCGGGCAGTGCTAGTGTTATATATAAAAATATAATGTTAACACTTGTTTAATTATCACTACTTAAAAAATATACCTACTTATCAAAAATTATAGAAAAGCTAAAAAAAAATATTATTTTTCATTAATTATCAAATATATATTATAATTAGCAGAACCCGCGGCTTCGCTCGCGCTAAAACTACAATACCAAGTTTCAAGTATTCTGATCATAATTTTTTTTAGGTTGTATTTATAACGTGTTTTCCCGTGGGAATAAGATAATCTCCCGAGGTAAAAAGTTGCCTATGTCACTCTCCAGCCCTACAACTATTTCCACACAAAAAAATACGCCAATCCATCATTCCGTTTTGTGAAAGAAGGACAAACAAACACACTTTCACATTTATAATATTAGTATGGATGAGATCTAAAGAATAGTTTATCCGTAAGTTATTACTAAAATTATTCTAGTTCTTAGTTTTGTTCTCTATATTAGTATTTAGTAGTGATTGTACAAGTAAATGTCGTCAAAGCACTTAGAAACTTTACTCATAAGTATAAATGTATTTATGTAAGCTTTTATCATATAATAAAAATCATTTGTATGTTCTGTTTTTGTCTTAGAGATTTACATGTTTTAAGCTAACTAATTACAACGCTCCCTTTTAAATCAATATTTACATTTATTACTTTTAATTAAAAAAATGCGAACGAATTCACAGTTAGTTATTTAAGTATGTTGGGACATTAACACACAGCACCATCTAGTTCTATGGTAAGCTATGAGGCTTGTGTTATGGATACCAGATAGTTGATACACTACACATATATAAACTTTAAATACATACATAAATATTATAAATATGAACCCATGGCTGGAGTACAAACATTCATGCTCATCACACAAATGAATGACCCCAGCGGGACTTGAATCGCGACCGCTGGCACAGCAAGTAGCGTTACTACAAACTGAACCAAACGTGTTGTCGTAGTGATTATATATTATTATTAGAAGCAGAGTCAAAAAACTTATTATAGTTCACTTGACCGTGTCAAGATGAGGTGGTATCTCCACGGATGTTGGTATGAAAGTATAGTGCAACACGTAACAAAACCGGTTCTACCATTACATATAGACTTTCACTCAGAACTGTTATGTCATAATTGGCTTATTACTCCATGTATCTCATTACTACTTGTCCGTCTGATGTCGAATGTGATTATTGAAATTAAAAACATAATACAATTTTCCATATAAAGATCTTCTTCACTTATTAAATTTAACTAGCTTTCTTTAACGCTTACTTGAATATTACAGCTATAGAAATGGGTTATCTTGTTCATGGTTAAAACTTTTAACAATTAGTAAGAGTACTGGTAAAATTAACAAATTCTATCGCGTCATTTGTTATTCTGTGGAAAAAACTTCTTTTTTCGGGATAATGAGACTATAGGTACTCTTTTTTTTGTCCTTTTTTATTTATTTTTTATACTGAAATCTGAATTTTCTATCCACCGACATCGGATATGTTGTTTCAGACGTAAGCCAATACAAAGGAACAAAAAGACTTTTGGAGCCAATTTAAACTAAGCTTTATTAATAAAAAAACGTATAGTAAATCTCAATATAGGGTAGCTATTTTAAATAATAATTTAGTACAAAAAAGTTGAATGATCTATTTCCAATAATGTGAATTATTTATATATTCTAGTATACTTTTGTCAACTTAAAAGTTTTCTTATTAAATTGAGTCGTTTATACGTTTACTAGCGACTCAGTACGCTCGCTCCGCTCGGGTTCGTCCCTACTTAAGTTTTAACGTTTAGTATAGATTTTTCAGAGATCTTCCAGCAGTAAAAAGTATCCTATATGTTGAACTGGATAACCAACTACTATCATACCAAATTTCATCAAAATCCCTCCAGTGATTTTTCCGTCATGCGGTAACAGACAGACAGACAAACAAACAAAAAATCTAAAATCTATAGAATCGGCCTCTGTATCGATAATAATGTCTATTGCAATAATTATCCAAAAAATATTTAATGTATAGATTTTTTTTTTATTTAAAGATTTAATATAATTTACCTTAGCAATGTAGGCTTTCATGTAGAAATTTCCGAAGAGCACAATGAATGAGATCATGTATATTATAAGTACATAGTGCATCCAAAGCGGAAATTCGCAACCAGTTCTAATACCATTGATGCCAAGTATCAGAGCGCATGTGAACTGGATCTGTGGACAATACAGGATAAATTAACAGACGTTAAAAAATTATATACTGTGTCTGTATTTTTATGTCAGACTTAAAAACATTAAACTCGATCAGGGTTTGAATCCAGGACCTTTTAATCAAAGGTTTGATTCTTGCGAACGAATATTTCTATTTAAAATTGAAATACTTCTAGACGAATCCATACAAAAAATGTATTTTCATTAGTCGAATGAGAAGAAAGAAAAAAATTGGAATTTCTATTTCAATAAAGCATTCTTCAATGATTTTCAATTTTACTTTATAAAAAACCAAAGTTTAAAAGCACTTCAATAAACATAAAAATTCATTCATGTGGTTTTTTTGCAGTTTTCTGTATATTTACTCTGTTTCAAACGGTATATTTTTACTTAACATGAATCTCATATCACATCATAAAAATAATGTTATAACTATAAAAGCTTATAGACTTATACAAATTCAAATTTATTTAAACCATTATTAATCACAGTTTATTTAGTAAAATAAGTATAGGAAATTTAATTTGTGACGAAATTGAGTACAACTTTTTCTTCACTTTGAATTCTAGTGGAAATAACTTAAAACCCCCTACTATTTGTTTAATATTCACTTAATTCACATTTAAACGGAATGGAATAGAGAAATTAAGATAGAGTAATATATATGTAAATAGTTCACCAGTTGCAAGATGGTCAAATATTTCTTCCACCACAAGTACTGACTGACGGTTGGTCCGAATACGGAGAGTCCGTAGTACGTGTACATTAGTACATGAATGCCGCTATTGACCATCGCAGGTAGAAAAGCTGGAATGATAGAAAACAGTAACAGTAACTAGTTATAGCCCATGACTTTGTTCATATACATCGATTAAAATAAGCGATATGTATATATATATATATATATATATATACATATATATATATATATATATATATATATAATTTAGACTTGGAAACCATACGGCTTGTGATTTTATTCGCGTATTTAAACAGTTATTTTGATAGGACATTAGCAGTTCATAGTAATATACTTAAAATACACGTGTAATATTAAGGGATCGTGTTATATATAGATATAACACGATCCCTTAATATTACACGTGTATTTTAACTTTATAGTTTTCTAACTGTGAAAGAAGTTTTAATAACGTATAAGGAGTTCTCGAGATTTTCCCTTACACGCATAATACCTCTTACTGGTCATTGAAGATGAAAACTATTTATTAAGAAAAATGCTTACTCGTTAAATATCCGTATTACTTTGAATAAATAACATCCTAAATAATATGGTAAACATTATACAAAAAAAATTCATTATTATATTTATTACAACAGAAATTTTGGATTTCAACTCAAGTATATTTAAAGATATTTTTAGAGTTTAAACTATGTTACACAAAATGGAAGTCATATTTAATAGTAAAAATTAAAATCAGAACTATCAAAATCGAGTTGAGATCTTACTTGATCCACTCGGCACCCATTTGATTCCTATCCACCAGAAACCAAACATAGTTGAATGATGGTAAACGTGCAAGAATGTCAACTGTTCCTCTTTCTTCCTTAAAATGAAGAAGAATGTATCGCAGAACTCGAGCAACTTCGAAAAGTAGTACCACCACACAGCATTCGCTATCTGTAAATAATATTTTTGTTGTTATATTGATATTTACAAATCTTGCATACTGTTCAATTAGATCAGTATTTTAAGTACGTATTAGTAACAAACATACAAAAATCTTCTCGTATTCAGCCCTTTTTAATGGCCCACTGCTGGGCACGGGCCTCCCTTCAATACGAGGGGGATCAGGCCATAGTCCAACACGCTGGCCAAGTGCGGGTTGGCGGACTTCAGATGTCTTTCGAAAACTTGCTAGGTTCTCTCGGATATGCAGGTTTTCTCACGTTTTCCTTCACCGCAAGATAAGTCGTAATCATGTTAGAAATGACTCACAGATGAAAATATCAGAGGTGCGAGACCCGGGATTCGAACCCGTTGCACTCGGTTTCCCAAGCTAACGCGTTACCACTGGGCTAAAACTTCTTCACTTCATCTTATCAATAGGATGGATGACAAGCTCTTGCTTTGTTAAGGGCTAATATTTAATTCACTTATATCCAAAATCCAATATCAAAAATATTTTTTAATAAATTGCCAGCCGATACAAAGCAAAGCACACCGACTTCAAAAATATTTGAATAGGTATGTATAGTAATAAAAACTACCAATCAGTTATTTTTTACTTTTTAGTGCTTTTTTGAAGTCAGTTTTTATTTTTTTGTTAAAAATTTTTTTTTATTACTTATTTTCAAGTACATAATAAATATATATATTCTTTCATTTTTTGATGCATAGATTTTATTTTATTGTATATGTATGTAACATGTATTATATTCATGACCATTACATTTATTTGTGTCCATTTATTACTTGACCTTTATTTCTATCACTTTTTTTACGTTTAGTTTTATTTATATAAGATTATTTATGTGGGACAAATAAAATTATATAAATAAAATTAGACGTATTTATACTCATTTTAATATATACTTTTTTTTCTATATTTATTTTTATTATTATATTATTTATTGCCCTTTACTTTATGACTGTAAGTATATCAGTGGTGGTAGGGAGTAAAGATCAAATAGCAACAAAACAATTATAATTTACATCAAAATATTCCATAGTATTATTGTTTTACTTTTCTACAATAATATTATAAAGATGAAAGATTTGTATTTTTTGTTTGTATGTTTGTAACGAATAAATGCAAAAATTACTGGACCGATTTAGATGAAATTTGGTAAGAAGATAGTTTGAGACCCTGGGAAGGACATAGGTTAATCTTTACCGGAAATCATCCCTTAAAGGGGTTGAAATTCGGTTGATAAGATTGAAATGAAATGCCCTCAGAATTCTTCAGAAATTCTGAGAACATTAATCAGATTTAAGATATCTTGGAAGTAACTTAAGAATTTTAGAAGTTATAAAACTTACTTATACTTAGATAATAATTATTAAAATAAAATACTATTTGAATATTTAGTAATCAAATAATGTTATTATTTTAAAAATAGCCAAATAACTTTACTTAGTACTTTAAGGATAATATCTTTAATTTTGACATGACATATTTTTGTAAATTTTTTATCGTCACAGAAGTATAATTTTGAAATTATTAGACAAATAGACAATTTCCGGAATGCAGTTTGAACATAATGACGTTTTAAAGAGAAAATAAATTTTCCCCTACGACATAATCAACATTTTCATTCCTAAGAAGACTCGTTTTCAGACTTGAGAATAATCAAGATGAAATTTACCGAACACATGAATAAAGCAAACAGCAAGGATACCTGAGTATTTTGATAAAACTATTGATAAGAAATACTAATGGCCTGCTATAATATCTTTGACATCGACAGTGATGTTAATCTATATGCAAGTAAGCATTAGTTATACTTTTTACGTATTCTTGAGGTTTCACCTACATTTGTGGAGGTAATTTTAATCTGGATTTCTAGTCCGTCCATTTGTCTGCCGTCTGCCGGACTCATGATCTTTTAGTCAATCTATCTATTTGTTTGAGTAATACGCGAAACATCTGAACCTATGTTACATTTTTAATTTACAAACATACGATTAAGCTATTTTTTATTAAGGCAAAGAAAATATTTCTAAATTGATAGTTCTATTGATTTTTTTCCTAGATAAATCAACGCATACGCATATATTTTTCACTTTATACATACTTATCCTTGATATCTCTATTACATAAACTATTATCTGATCAAACGCGATTCTACACCGTAGTTTTAACGATTTTGTCATTAAGAAGTGTGACTAGCACAATTCGCTTTAATATATAGACATTAACTCTAAAGAAGAAATGATTAGGAAGTATCTGAGATCATGGAATAGAAATCATTTGCCAACAATAATCATATTACGCTACATTGACCTCCTTGTAGCTAAATTGTTACTATTAATCTCCACAGCTGTATCCTTCCGCAATTTCTTTAAGTGGTCTACTTGAAATAAAGTAGATAGGATCTTAAGTCATACTACTCGTTCACATAAATTATATTTCAAAAGAGAATTTTCAACCGACTTCCTCAAAAAGGAGGAGGTTCTCAATTCGGCTGTATGTTTTTTTTATGTTTGTAACCTCAGAACTCCGTCATTTATTAACCGATTTGGTCAATTTTTGTGTTGTTTGAAAGTGTATACTTCCAGATTGGTCCCAGCCAATACAAAGCAAAGCACACCGACTTCGAAAATATTAGATTAGATATGTATAGTAAATGAAAACTACCAATCAGTAATTGTTTACTTTTTAGTGCTTTTTTTGAAATCGGTTTTCATCTCTTTTTAAGTTTTTTTTTAATTTTAAAAAAGCATGGATTACTGCCTTTTCTTAGTTTTTATTTGTATAAATTAGCTATCTGGTGCTGTTTCAGCTTTGGTTTTATAGATATCCTTAAATCGGAGCAAAAAAAAAAATATAAAGTTAATTTCAACGGCCACGATCGATTGCCTTTAGAATTCAATCCCGCAAGCCATCGATCAAAAAAGTACTAGATACATAATCCCATGCAAAAGCTCTCTTATAATTGTCACTAATTGTGTTAAGTTAATTATTCTAGTTGATGATTAAATACAACAATGTAAATTGAATAAAAGCGCGCTCAAATGTTCAAATGTGCGCTCATTCGGTGAGGACGTTTTTGTCGCTGATTGTGTATCTAGTACTTTTTAGATCGATGCCACAAGTAAAGAATGATATAATAAGAGATGACCACTTAAGCTTTGCACCAACTTGATTTTGATAATAATAATTAAGTATTTAAGGTTCTACTTCAATACAAAATTATATACCTGGAATCATTTATAGACAAAAGTGTTTATTAAATTTTCTGTGAATATAGATTTCCTACGAAGACTAACAACAGTCGAGATCATAGTGTCAAGAGCACTCAATAGACTTATCTCAAATGCTCTACAAATAACAAGATATAAGTGTACAATATTTTATTATTTATTTTTCACATAACTTGCATTACTATTTCTTATATATAAATATTTAAAAAATATTGTATAAAATGGATGTTATACTTAAATAATATAGTATGGATAAAAACTTCATTTGAATATAATAATAATTTAGCTGATTTTAACCTTTTCCCAATGCTGAACATGAGCTTCCTCTTAGTGCAAGGGTGATCTGTCTATCATGCTGGCTAAATACAGCTTGGCAGACTTCACATGTCTTTTGCAACTTAATTAGGTTACCTCAGGCATGCAGTGTGCCCTAGATGTGTACCTTGTCGGGAAAGTCGGGTTTATTAGCGTCCGGCAATCCAGCCGGGCGTGTAATGAGTACATTCATTTCCCAACATAAAAAACATGGTAATCTCGTTAAAAATGAAATTTGCCATGAAAATCTTATAAGAGCCGAGATCCGGCTTGAACCCATCTCACTTGGTTTTTCATGCGAGCACGTTACCAATGAGCTGCTAATGCTAGTATTTATAACCATTTTGAATATAAATCGTATTTTAAGTGAATATTGATTTCGAGCTCTATAGTTGAAATAGAAACGCTTAAAACAATTAAAACGTTATAAACCTGAAACTGCAGCTGTGGAATAGACTAGTAATAAATAGTAAACTACTACGGTCGTAAAGCGTTCAATGTGTCCATTTAAATTAAATTATTTGAAAATTTGGTAAAATTTCTACCACCATTTTGATTGCTAGAACTAAAGTGTTAAATATTACGTAAAAACATTATCTACCTAATTAGCCCACGTTATATTAGAAGTTATTAGCAGTATAAAATTATTCGACTTGTAAGTCCAAGACATAGTCAATCTGTGAAATATTTTCTATTCAAAGCGATACTTTTCATCGTTTTCCCTAAAATAAATGCGAAAAATCCAGATTAAGTTAATGCAATCGTACTCATAGTTAGACAGATGAAGTTTTACTTTATGCACAGAATAACTCTGTCAGGTAAAAGCTGGTAAAATATTTCTACGAATTTTTTCGTTTTAAACTTTAATATAGAAAGTTTTACTTACTTGCATCTCATCAGCATCGTACTTTTGTCGACAGGGTTCGCATATGTAACTATACCGTAGTCTAAAGGACGCAGTCAACAATCTCACAGCGATGAAGGCATTCAGTGCTGCCATAGCTAAGTTATAAGGAACTAACAGCCATGTTAATTTAAAAGGACGCCTGTTTTTCATGAGTTTAGGTCCTATCCAAACTATAAAGAGGTAAATTAGTGTGTAGATTACTGTTGGTACGGGGGAATCCACTAACGGCCATCCTTCTGTCCTTTTGTCTGAAACAAATTGTTTATTGTTAAATAAAAACCTGTTATAAGCGTTAGTTACAGCAGTATGTATTATATATATTTTATTTTTTATATTTCATTTGGCTCAGTTTGTAGTGACCTACTTGCTGTGCCAGCAGTCGTGGGTTCAAGTCCCGTTGGGGGCATTTATTTGTATAATGAACAAGAATGTTTCTACATTAGTCATGGGTGTTTATGTTTATAATATGTATGTATTTAAAGTTATATATGTGTAGTGTATTAACTATCTGGTATCCACAACACAACCTCGTAACTTACCATGGAACCAGATGGTGCTGTGTATTAATGTCATGTATTCGTTAATCGATGTGATTTTATACTGCTCAATTAGTTAACATATCTTGATCAAATCAATGCCTTAAACAGACACACAGACAAACTTATAATTGAGGCTTCTTTTGTGGGTTTAAATGAATGTTTGTTGAACCTTTACGTTACAAAATATCTACTAACAGTGTGAGGTTTTGAGGTATAGATTATGAGGTTTATATATTTCTAAGATTTTTTAAAAATTATATCCCACGTTATCCTTTTTTTATAATCACATTCAGATCCAAATATTTTTTTACACACTGTCGCGTAGTGAAGAGTGTGTAACGTACTTATAATAAATAATTTTTAAAAATGACACGTCTTAATCATGCTTAACACATTCTAAGACAACGTTTGACAATTAACGACAAGAATATTTAATCATTAATTGTGTTAATTAATTATTATTAATTATAAAACAAACCGCGTGTGAGAGAGGAACAAAACGTTTTCCATAAGGGAATTGTAATTAATAGAAAATACTCGAAATATCGAATATTAGAATGTTCTTTGGTTATGCATATAAAAAGGATGATAATGTGTCGAGAGTTTAGTTGAATTTCAGAGCTAAATGAAAACTGAGAAGAAATACGAAAAAGTGAAAAAGTGAGGAAAAGTGAAGTAAAGTGTTAGTGCAAGTGTAACTAGTGGTGGAAAATGTGCTCAGAGATTGAGTTAAGTCAAAACTATGCTTTAACTGCGTGTGTTTGTGAACCGTCATAAGGGACTGTTTTAAACCAAAAGAAATAAAACATCTATAAATTTCCAATCCCAGAACCCATAGGACTTACGTTTACTTTTAAATTAATATACCTATTTATAGTATACAAATATTTGCTTCCAATTTACAACTTACTACACTACTCGTGCATGTTCTTTTCTTTCATGAACTTTCATTATAACCATGTAAAGTTGTTAGACGTTCGCAAGAGATAAAGCCACTAGATATTAGGTATAAAAGGCTAATTGGGAAGTTATAATATACTCGTTATGTGGGCGTTACATTCAAACTCGTTAACATTTGCGGTAAGCTTAGTTTTAGTTATGGCTTATATAAATTTGTGTTTAAATATATTTGTATTTTTTATGAAGAATATTGGTAGTAACTGCTAAAAATAATATTTTTGTAATTTAAATTAAAATATAGTACGAGAGAGAGCTTATTTAGCGTCCAAATGATAATATTCGGCTTCTACAAAAGCGGTCCAACATGGTTAGTGATTTTTGTAATTGGTCTATACTTTGACACTAAATACAGAGACTAAAATTCCAATGTCATTGGAAAAATGTTGGTGGTATAATTGACAAATAAATAAATATTAATAAATACAAATAGCTAACGGTTTTATTGTAATAAAAATTAATAAGTTAATATTATGTTATCTCTATTTCACGGGGAAAAGAACTAACACGTGTAAATACAAAAGAATATAGTATTATTTTTATTCTTCATTTTTTCTTCTCAAAATAACGAGTAATACGTTTTAAAATTTCACATATTCATTAAAGAATGTAAACGTGGTATGGCAAAATCGAGAAAAGTAGCATAAACAGCAAATCACACTACTACGAGTATTTTGGGGTTTGACATTTATTTAGGCGGGCTCAGTCTATATATTTATATTTGTCTAGCCTCAGTTAAATCAAACAATTTAATTTAATTTTAGCATGAAACTTATTGTGTTATAGATAGTACCCACTCAGCGTTGAATCACTTTGAAAATAATAAAAAGGGCCTTTTTGGAATTGGACCACTCATACATACATATACTCTTATAGATAAAAACTTTTAATCTCAATAGTGTTAGACATGGAATTTATAAAAGCTAAACAAACCAGAAAGCGACAGCGTCCATAAATAATAGTCGTACGTGTCTTTCAAGACACTCTGTGTAGAGTTTACTATCTTGGCCATTTTGTATGCAGGTCACACAACTGAAACAAAATAATATCATTGTTAACAACAAAACTTTTGTATTTAAGGAAAAAAATGAATTAAAATTAGTAAAGCTAGTATTTAAGCTTTTTTAAGTTTTTTGCTTAGTAGATGAAAGTTTTGTAATAAACGTAATAAGTAAGTAATACAACGCAGATATTTTGCATAATAAAATATTATCATATAAATATGTTTAGTCTAGTCCTATATCATTGCAGCTGTGACCTATTTTTTATGACCTAAGTTTCACAAGTAATGTAACATCTTTCCTTCTCCATACATTATACCTTAAATTAATTTCAGATTCATAAGTAAATGACACATTATAGAAAAAAAATAATAACTAGATATAGCCCTAACGATCCTTTAGGCAATTGACCCGCTGTATAAACCGCTTTCAAAACATTTTTTGAGGATGGACCACATAGAAGTTTAAAAAAATGTAGAAAACAATTGTCCTAAATTCCCGCATATTATTTTTTTATAAGGACCACGAAGAATGTAATCGTAGGTACCTATGTTCTCCCCCCCAACGTGCGTTCACCTTGTCGTGGTGGGGGGGCTCAGTAGTGCCTGGCAACCCAACCGGGCGCGAAGCCAAGAAACGCACAGGGAGGTGGCCCACTTCGGTGGGCGGTGGGAGGTGGCCCTCTTCAGAGGGCGGTGTACCATGCGGGTTGCTCCTGGTACTTCTCTGATAGCAGAGTGGACCTTGGAGCAACCCCGTGGTTGTTGTGGTCTGCTTCGGCAGACCTGCCGGGGCGTCGTAGTTGAATGCGTAAGCGATCCTGCGACGCCCTATTAAGACGGGGGAAGGCTTTGTTGGGTTTTAGTGGGTAGTACTGGCTTTGCCGGTGAGTCCCACACCTCATGCGTAAATGCATTTCCCAACGTTAAAAAAAAAAGGTACCTGTGTTCTATAAAATAATAAATGGTCCTCTGAACACAGCTTTTTACTAAATTTTCATGATAGCGGTTTGAAAAAAGTGAGAAGTTTGAAAACTTTTTGTATCTGTGGACCACATTCATTTTCGTAATAGGCAAAGGGGGGCAGTTTCATTATTTTTTGCATGGGGGCACAAAGAAGCCATTTACGTCACTGGTCGGATATCTGACTATCAAAATGATACTTGTATTAGTGCAATTTATTATATCTTAAAAATATTGTAAAAAAAGAAGACTGTTATCTAACATTCTATTTAAACACTAAATTTTGCCGAAGTACTTATAACTTTGTGTGTAAATCATTAAGTATTACTGAAAGTTTCATAAAAGCAGCTTTCACTTAGGGCTTTATCTTGAATATAACTTACAAGTGTCGTAATTTCAATAAGGGTATTAAAGATTATTTATATGTTATACATACTTTAAGCGCTTGTCATATATTATAAAGTGTAAGAACGCTTGGTCATGTAATTTAATATTGTAGTTTATAATTTTACTTTTATAAGATTGAATTACTTTTACTAAAGATACCTATTTTCTAATTATTTTTGAAGTGAAAACTTCTATAGGCAGGTTTGGATGGGGAGTAAATTCATGTAAGTCATCATCGACATGGTCACGTGACGTTTTAACGCTAACACTCAGAGTGCCGATAGATATAAAAACCTGATAAATGTAAACAGTTTTCATTTACAAACTTGATTTAAGATCAAACAATTAATTTGAATATCCAAAAATAGCAACTGTTTGTTATTACTAACTATAAGTTTTAAGTTTTCACTTCTATCGGCAGTCCTCATGACTGCTTTTTCTCTCATGTAAGAAATCCATGGGAATTTTAATTACAGTGGCTTATTTTTTATATCTTTTGAAAGAATGTATTTTCATTTAAAAAGGCATAAAATTTAATTAAAACATATTATACATAATATGTATACATGGGACATAGTAATCTATTTTTTTTAAATAATTAAATTTTCTAATTCAATTTAATTAAAACTATTTAATCAACAGAAACAAAAGTCATCGTTATGATAGAAAGGCTGAATTTAGAACTAAGAACCTTAGAGAGAAAGCAATTCATTAGGCGCTTACTGCTTCGCTACAATAGCTGAATCATGGAGAAACCTACTCATATAATTATACCATGAAATCCCATCGACCATTTGACCATGACCAAGTACTATTAAATTAGTAAAGATGGATGTAAGAAAAGAAAACTTCTATTTTCGCGGATTTATTTTCATTTTTGGTTCCCGACGTTTCGAATGCTTTACAGCAAGTTTCTCCTGTGACCATGATTGCTGGTCGAAATCATCGAAACGACACTTTATAGAAGAAAGAGAAATAGCCCATTCAAAACATCGGGAACCAAAAATCTAAATAAATGCGCAAAAAATCCAATAAGACAGTTTTATTTAAAATGTCAAATATTCGCTAAATCTAAGAAAGTACTAAGGATGTAAGACTTAATTGCTACTTTAAGAAATAATTATATAATATTAAAAAAATAAAAGATTTAATTGTTATTAGAAACTAGCGGCTCCCCTCGCTTCGCTCGGGTTCGAAGAGCACAAACAGACCCCACGGGAAACGTTTATTTTTCCGGTATAAAAAGTAACCGGGTGTTTGACTGCTAAAATAAGGTATCAGCGTACCAAATTTTACTAAATTAGGTGCATAAGATTTTGTGTACTAAGCTGTATAAGTTACTATAGGTTTTTAACTATCCCACAGGAACTCTTTAATTTTCCGGGATTAAAAGTATCTAAGATGTTGCCCGGGAATAAAAGGTACCACCATGAAAAATTTCATTTAAATCGGTTCAATAGATTCGGAGATTAGCCCGTACAAACGGACAAACAAACAGAGAAACAAAAAAATAAATAAAAAAAATCAGGAAAAATCTTTCTCTTCTTACATCCCTCTCACTCGGTTTTTAGCATTTTTTTCTATGTACAGAAATTCGACCTCTACAGTTTTATTATAGTATAATTAAACTATTTTGGGAGTATTTTTGCTATCAATCACTCTTTATCGTCTTCTTACTTCTATGTGACGTTGATAAAGTAAATTGTACTAAACTTTCTCGCTTAAATCTTCTATTAAACATAAAATAAAAGAAATTGAATGCGTTGCTTTAGAGCACGTATTTCGTAATACTTTATACCTTTCCTTTTTTCATTCTTATTTGTAAGAAACCTCTGTATAAAAAGTTGATGATATAACCATTAAACCGTGATTTCTGCTCTGACCAGTGTGGTATGTTTACGGTCTATCGACTATAAGGAAGGTAAGGCGTCGAGTGACAGAGAAATCATTTTCGTCAAAATTATTCAATTAACTTACGACTCACTCTCGGTTCGCTCGGGTTCGTCCCTAGGCACGTTTTAATTTTTTTTGAGCGGAACCCTAATTATTTTTCTAAAATAAAAGTAGCGTATGATACTCCCTATAACATCAGCTATCTTCCAGTGAAAGTCCCGTCAGAATCAGTCCAGCCGTTTCAGAGATTATCCGGAATAAACAGACAGACAGACACAGACAGACCGACAAATTTTTTAATAATTGTGTTTTTTTATAAGTACCGTATATAATTTCATATGCATTTAGTAAAAAGCTGTTATTTTGACATTACAAACAGACACTTCAATTTTATTTATCTGTATAGATTATTATTGGTTAACTTTTAGAAAATATCAGAAGTTATCAATAATAGGAGGAAATAAAATAACGAATTCAGAGGAACCATGCTGTGATGGCTTGGTTAGACCCCTAATTATGCCTAAGTTTTCCCTCTCCCAGCTCAGGATACTTGCTTAGAAAAAATAATATATTTAAGTCACATTCTTTATAATTTTGTTACATTCTTATGGGTAGCTTAAGAATGTTATGCAACACAAATAGACAAGCACGTATTTATTTTATATATAGCTTATATATTTGTTAATTGGCTATAAGTAACTTAACTAAGTCAGAAACTTGGTTGCGATTTTCGTACATACTATTAAGATGTTTAATTTGATCTGTGTAAAATAAAAAGAAATACACTTACAAGAACTACTTGCAATGGAGTTCATTTTTAATTGTCATTCAAAAATATAAAAAGGCATAGAAAGCTACACTTAGGCATATAAGAATATTAAATCTGTCTATCCATATACGAATAACAAAACAGTTCGTTGGACCATTGTTAAATAGTCAATAGTAAAGTGAAAGTAAACGAAACAAAAATATATATTTACAATATTAGAGAAAGCCCTCCAAAGTGGACTTGACACTCGACAACACACTTATAAACTTTTGGCTAAAGCAATTGATGAATAAAAAATTTAAAACGAACTTTTTTAAAGCTAATATTTGCCTTATGCCAATAGTGTATATTATACTATATTAGACATTGGTAGCCCAATGGTAACGCGCTCGCTTGAGAAACCGAGTGAAGCGGGTTCAAATCCCGGTCGCACTTCTGATATTTTCATGTGCGAATCATTTCGAACATGATTGCCGCTTATCTTACAGCGAAGAAAGACATCGTGAGGAAACCTGCATGTCTGAGAGAACCTAGCAAGTTTTCAAAAAATATGTGCAGTCCGCCCGCACTTGGCCAGCGTGGTGGACACTGATTCCCCTCGTATTGAAGGGAGGCCAGTGCTCAACTGTGGGACTTTAAAAACGAGCTGAATACAATAAAGTATATTACAGCCTTAACGTTTTGTCATAACAAGTTTACAGCAGCATTCTTGCTTCACTCCTATCGAATTAAGCTAGGAAGCTATATAAAATTGTACAATTGATATTAAAAAAATAGAATAGACAAGATTTTTTGTAGTTCTTATGAGGGTGGCATGGTTTTTACGATTAAACCCTTCTAAAAATTAAGAATTCTACAATACGGTAAACATAATTATAAGTTTTGACTATAAGTCACTGTTACAACAATTTAGTTTCAGCTTTATTCTTCTAACAAAATGAATTGAAAAAGCTTAGCATAACACTTTTTGAATGTGAATCTCTGAATAGTATTGTATGAG